AAAAAAAAAGAAATAAATCTAGATTACTGACAGCACAGTGGTAACTTAAGAGTCGGTCCTGCCTTGAAACTGGAATTGGAAAATACATCTCTCTCTCTAGCTGCCAGTGAGCTGATGTTTGGTATAAGGGTGCTTTTAATAGCAGATCTTTTGTATATGTTTTACCCTGCCATCTGTAACTGAGGCTTTGTGGCTCGTTCAGAGGCCAGAGCATGGGAGACGATGCATGCCATGAAACAGCAGTGCTGGATGCACGGTGTCGTGAAGCAGTAAAGATGCTCTTATATAAAAGGCTGAGCAAATGCCATCACTCTTGGTTTCATAATTGAAATTCCTGTGTCTGTTGTTGCTTTGTTTGGGAATTATTTTGTTTATTTGTCTCCGGCGTGAGATCTATGTGTCTATTGATAAACACAATAAAAGACTCAACAAAATTATCAACAGTAATTATTTACTAGTTTCATTGGATATTCTTACTGATACCTCTAGCAATTTGCAGGCAATACGTGAAATAGGAAGTTTCCTCAGCCTCTCACCCTTGCTACGGAGGCAGAGTAAAAACCTGCTTCCCAACCACTATGTTGAAGATTTCTCCCCTAATGATTGTCATTGTTTGAAAGCTGCAGTGAGCCACAGTTGTCAAGATATTAAAGAGAGATCAAACCATTTTCTCCTGTAGCAGCCCCTGCCCTGCTACGTGTTGCTGGGACTCTGTGTGATGGCAATTAATGACATTATTATGGTTGAGCTGGCCAGCAGCAATGCAGCAAGGCTGGCTGTTGATAGAGACTTGCCTAGTCATCTTGTGCCATGTGCCAGTTCGTCTGGCTGCTTTTATATATCAATTTATCTCTGTAATCCACTCAGGTAACTGAAATGAAGACTGAAGTGGCTTCAGACCATGAAGACTTTGCATACAACAGTCTGAAGGTGAGTGAGAAGCTCCCACTTAGTGCTGTAACCTATTGCACGGCTCCAACAGCCCAGGCAAACTGAACGTGGTAATAACCCAAAACCTCCTGTAATCGGTTCTGACTATTGGAGACAGCAGTTTGAAAGCTGTAGCTTTCCATCAGCTCCTGGGCCTGGGGGGGGCTCACAGATGATTCTCTCTGGGGCAACACCCGATTTACCTGTTAGAATCTTCCATGGAGGTAACAAGCCCACTTATGATGAAGAGTGCTTTTTCCACTGCACACTTTCCCACTGGGACTTTTTTGGGTTTCCTATGATGTGACACCGCAGGTCTCAGCAGTTTGCACACAGTAGGCGTGAATTCTTGCGGCTGAAGCCCAGTGTCTTTCTTGTTCCAGGCTCCAACTCTGCTTCTTGTCTACTTTCCTTGTGTTCTGAAGGTGCCACTCAGGTCAAAACCAAATAAATTTGCTTCATGGATTGCAGTAATAGCCTCCATTTCTCAGCAGCAGTGCTAGCTGACCATAGTTATCTTGTGCCTTCCCAGCTATTACCCTACCCTGCAATTCGTCTTGTCTCTAAGCAATAAATGCTCACGGTTCTGCCTCTGTCATTTTCTCCCCACGACATACAGAGCAGCTGAAGCCTGCTAGGGTCCTGTTGCAGCTTTTGTGGGTTGCGTCCTCCTATTGTAACTGCACCCAAATATTTCTTATTAAGCCAATTCTTATGTCCTGCTCATCGTCAAAAAAACAGTTCCTAGTATAGGCTTTGTAAGGGAATTTTATTTTTTTCTTCAGTGCAGACTTGTATTTCAGATGCTCCTTCTCTTCCTGACCCCTTAAAAAATATTGCAATACAACTGAGAAATCCAGAGGAACCTCTGTTACCCAGGATAATACGCTAAACCATTTGGTAGTAGTAACACCCATTTTTGCTGTCTGCATTGTCATTATCAGAAGGATGCAATAAAGCAGAAATTAGAGATGGAAAGGACATATGCTCAACCCTCACTAAGAGCTTACCTCTAACCAGTAGCTTTTTCTGGCATTTAGTCCTCCAGTTTTTAGTCTCGAAGCATGATATTTGTGTTGCATTTGCTAGACGTGCTGTTTGTGATTGACAGAAACCCTGCTGAGTTTCATTAGTACCCCTGCACAGCTCGGTGGAGGAAAAGCATGGCAGGAGCTTTAAAATAATTGCCAAAATGTCTTCCAGTTGCTTAAATGTGGCTATGGAAGTTTTAAGTTTCTTGACCTTGTAAAGTGAAGTGAAGTTGCAGTTTGGAAGGGGAGAACCCAGCAGATAAGAACCGCCACCTTCTTAAACGGCTTCTGGAGTTCTGACTTCTGTGTGAGTTCACAAATTGTGTTTTCTTCAAGTTTTAACCCAGGAAGTTCAGAATGGAAATATTAATTTTGGATTTTCCTACTTTCTACATTCCTAACATACTGACCTTCATAGTCCAACATATCTAACAAACTTTAACAACTCTCTTAATAACCATTTCGTACGAATAGGTAGCATGTGTTACAAAAAAGCAGGATTCTTTAACCTTTAGCTTAAAACAGGTGGAAAATGAACTTGCAAGGAAACTCATCTCAAAGTGGTGTTGCGCTGCAAGAGGTGCTTTTTAAGGATCTCCAGCACAAGGTTCTTGCTGGGTTTCAGGGGAATGAGCTGAGGTTTGCAACAAGGAAAAACCAGGTCTAAGAGCTTGCTTTAACGCAGTGCAGACCTGCACAGACCAGCTGTAGCAGCTGATATTTTGGGTGCTGGTATATTGGGTGAATGTCAGTCGAGAAAGAGCTGAGGTGCCTGTGAAAAGCAAGGAGCAACTGCTTCAGAGGCCATAATGAGAGGCAACCCCTAAAGGAAAGGATTTTGCATTCCCTATAGGTAGGTTGGCCTGAGGGGAACCACTGAAAGAGAGAGGCAAATACAGCTCGCTGGTATTTTCCCCACTTGTGAATAGAGGATGCTGCCTGCAGTCTCCATCTGCAGTGAAAGTGACTTGCTGCTGATTTTGGGTGCTGCTTTTCCCTCCTTCCCCTGACAGCTGCTTCTGGGATTACAACAAAGCTCTTCCTCTCGTCTCTATTTCTTCTAACTTGTATCTCAAATATTTATACTTTCTCTGGCTCCTTCAAACACCTTGTGTAATTAGATTTATTTTTCCCTTTTGCTGGCTTAAAAAGTCTTTATCCTGGAGAACTAGGCTGAGGTGTCTGAAAGCTTACAGGCAGCAAACTCTTCCTGTGGATGCTCTTGAATGGTTCATGAGATACCAGCTTACAGAGGAGGAAGGGATGTTGGCTTTGCACCACTGATGCACTGTCTTTTGGAAACAGATACTCCTTAGCCAGTTCAGAAAGGTTTCAGAAGGTTTTAGAAAGGTGGCTGTAGTAGCTTTTCACAAAAAAGTGTATTTCCCTGAAACGAATATGAATTTTGACCTAGGTGAGGTGTGAAGACTGTTACTGAAGTACCTGAACAGCTTATCGTGGTGTAGGAGTGTTGTACTGGGTAGGGGAAGAGATGCTTGGATAAGGTCGTGAATGACCCGGGGTATGGTTTGGATAAATATGAGTATAAATATATAAATACAATGAACAGTACAAATATAAATAGGAGTATATGCATTATTTAAAAGTAATGCTTACAAATATAAGTTTGGGTAAACGTAATAAATACCATTATTGCTGAAAAGCAGGTTTTGGTGGGGGTTAACGATGTTTCTTGTTCAGTACTTTGTGACCTGAGTCTTCACTTCCTTCTGTTCATTTTTGGGTCCCATTCAAGATATTTTTGACATGCACAGCCTCTTGAGTGGGACAATACAAGGTGTGGGTGTTAGTGGATGACTGTGTGGGCTTGGTTTTTGCAACCAGCACATGGTCTGCTACTTCATATGCGTTTTCCATATTACTTTTTCCAGCTGGGAAAGTGGGAGTGAATGCACCAAGAAGTCCTTGCCCTGACTCTGTTTTCCTAGCAGGAGCACAATGCATAATTTGATTTCTTGCCCTTTGCATAGCTGGGATGTTTGTTTCATCCCATAGACTTGGAAACTCATCATGAGATGAGCTTCTAGAAGATACTATTTTCTTTTCCTATCGAATACCAGAAACAGAAGAGAGGGCAAATTCCTGGCATGGCAGCACTAACTTCTGATTTACACAGGCTCATACTTCACCCAGCCCAGCCATATAAGCCCCTTCCTAAAGACTGAGGCTATTTCCATTGCCATTAGGACTTAGGTACCCCTTTCACACCTCCATCGTGCTGTACATGTTAGGACAAGTGTGAGTTCAAGTTCAGGATGTTCTGACTGTATAACTTGTCAAATAAATCAGCACTCTTGGACTATGCTGAAGGAAGAGCATTTCTCACAGTGCAAGTAGAAATCTCCCTTTCCACATTCAAAGCATTTTATTTCAGCTTCTGTTGTGCCATTGCTGATGCTGGTGCAAAATGGGTGTACAGGCAAGGGACAATAGATATCTTGCCCATGTCTATAGATATTTTAACACTGCTCCATGAAAGCAGTGTTAAAGCACTCCACCTGGAAAGGAGTAGGGAATGAATTTAAATGTAAACTCTGAAAGGAGTCCAGGGCATGAGCAGGATTGTTGGTTATAATTTTCTTTCTTGATCTTCCTGGCTTCATTTCTAACCACAGCACAGGTTGGTATGACCGGTCCCTGGAGTTAGCAGTGTGGCTGGCCCATTTGAAAAACAAAAAGGAAATGAGAAAAAAAAAAAAGGAGGAGAAAAAAAGTGTGGGAAAAAGAAAAGCAGGGATCTTATCCAGCAAATAACAGAAATCACAGAAGAGCCATTTGTGTAGAAAAGCACTTAATTGCTTTCTTCCTCCCCTTCACCTGTCTCTGAGCATGATCAGAAAAGAGTGAAAAGCAAGTTGATGCTTTAACTGTGTAGCAAGAAGAGTTAAACCCAGCTTGGCATTGATTCCCTGCCATGCGCACACTTTTCAAACTCTTGTTTTAAAACCCAATTTTAGAAAAGCCAGTGCCTCATACACTCCTTCTGCTGAGCTGTGGTTAATGTGGATGTGGAGGAATTGCTGGATCTAATGCATTTCTTACCCTTTTTATTATTTTTTTTTAATGACAGATGGTATAAAGTACCTGAATATGCTCCATTACTGATGGTGTTTGTTCAGCTAGGAGTATGCTGGCTGTCCAGATCAGCTATTCTGTTCACACCTCTGCTGTGATAAGGCATGCTATTTATAATTTGTAAGGATTTATAATTATAACACCCGTTTCCTATGGAAACGAGGTTTACACAGCTGTGCTAGCTCTACACACTGTATAAATTGCCCCCATCCCCCCAGCCACTCTTGGATTCTTTAGCTTGCCTCAGCCAAAGCTGCTAATGAAGCAGATATCCCATAGATAAGAGGGATCATGCAAGAAAGCCATGGAAAGGGTCAAAAGACAGCGGGGAGAGGAAAGCATGTGGATCTCTGTGGGGAAAGAGCTTGTGCTGTTATAGACACTAGAGAATCCACGTGGACGGTTATCAGTCCCTAGGGAAGAGATGACCCCACATCAGTCAGACACCAACTCGCTTGCAAATGTCTTGGGTTTTGCTGTGTGGTGGTTGGATATGAATCCCGTTGGGTTTTGGCATTTTCTGAGATGCTTGGGTGCATAGGGACAGGAGGGAGCAGTCCTGGGTGCCACCATGCAGCTGGTGATGGAGGGTCTGGTGTGAAGAGAAGGTGGGCTGTTGGGATTTGGGCCATGAGAAAGAGCCTGGGGGCCTGGCTCTGCTCCCTCGCTGTGACCTGTAGCAAAGACTGTCCTGTCTGCAGGAGCAAAGTTGCTCTTGAGCCAGCTGGATGCTCCAGGTGGGTTTTGGGTGCTGGTGAAGAGCTGCCAAAGGTGGTGTTACCACCTGCTTCAAGGTGAAATACTGAAATAAAGGCTGTCTTATCTGCCAGAGTTTTATTCTTCTGTCTTCTACTGTCATGCAAAAGTAAATAAGCCCTTCAGTTGTCTCGGCAAACACTGCGATGCTCATGCATTGTTATTCAGGAGAAGCAGTTGGCGTCAAACTTGTACAGTGTTGCCCCTGCCTGTCAAACGCCAGCAGCTGACAAGACATCAGGGCGAGAAAATCCTCCAACTGCAAACATCGCACCGGGGTAGGGGAATTACAAAATGTATGAGAAAAGAAGCTGTAGTGGGAATTCACACCGCCACAGCTCACCTAGTGGGATGTCTGCCATGATGAAGGGTCACGTAAATCAATGTCTTCCACCTTATTTAATGAATACAAAAAATGATTTAAACATTTTTGGTGTTGTGGTGATTTCTTGATTGAGAAGGAAAAGGGGTGGAGAAGAAACAAACCTGTTTGGCTTCTTTAACAGCTTGCTTTTGTGTTTAAAAATAGTGTCAACAAACAAACAAACAATCTCCCCAGTGTCACCCTGTAGTGTTGTTATTAAATGGCAGCAGGCTACTGATTACAGCAAAAATCTTTTCTGAGCCACACGTGGCAGGACAGGCAGCAAAATCCAGATCCTGGCATGAATTGATCATTTGGCTGTGATCATCAGTAATTGAGTTACTTAGAGGCATCTCAGAAAACGATAAGGCACTGCAAGACAGTTTATCTGAACTGGTTAATGGCTTGGTGTTTTCCAGAGGCAAGAGCTGGAGTCGGAGAATAAGAAGCTGAAAAATGAACTTAATGAACTGAGGAAGGCTATTGCAGACCGAGCAACCCAGAACAACTCGCCCGATGATATTCAGGACAGTTATAACCTCTTACTGAATCAGCTGAAATCGGCCAGCGAGGAGTTGGAAGTGCGGAAAGAAGAGGTACTTATCCTGAGGACGCAGATTATGAAGGCAGCCCAGCAAAAAGAGTCAGGAAAAAACATGGTAATTGACAGAGTAATGGATTTTCTTTCCCTTTTCTCCTTCTGTCACTGAAAATTCAGTGCCTGCCTGAGCAATTCCATTTCTGCTTTGGAGGGGTTCTGGGTGGCAGGATGGCGCAGGGAGGTTATAGGAGGTTCTGCAGGGTTATAGGAGGTTCTAACTATGGATAAGATGTAGTCCATGGCATCATTTCAGACAGCCCAGGACCACACATCCCATGGTGATCTGTACTGCTCTAAGATGCTTGGCCCCATACCTGATGAGATCTAGCCAGCGCACACCAAGGAACAACTTCTCCAGCCCAGCACCAAGCTGTGGTGGTCTGAGATGTTCCCGGTGGTGTTTTGTGACAACTGGTTTATTCAGCAAGGAAATGGGATGGGAGAAAAGAGCTTCGGGACCAGATCCTGCTTACTTTATGCTGGTGCAGCCGTAACGTGCAGGCAAGAAGAGACCCCATCCCATCACAGTCGTTTGAGGACTTTTTTTGTTTAGACCCGGTTCTGACTGAAGGGTGCATTTTTTAAAAACTTATTTGGGCTTTGTAATTCACTGCCTTATCATTCCTTGAGCTTTTGGTATAGTTTGTATTTCAGACCAAAAAAAACCCCTTATCTCCTGCCCAGGTTCACTGCATCTTTCTTCCATCTCCTGATCTCTGCTGCTGTGTGTTTGCATGTGTATGAATTCATAGCTCTCTAGTCCGATGGATGTCCTGAGGAAGCTCTGTTAAGGATAGTTGGGAGTTGTTCGGTATCAGGAACTTTGAAAGACAGGAAGAGATGTGCAGGATCTCATACTGCTGTGTTTTGCATGTTGAATTTAGGAAAGCATCACCACCAATGCCAGCTGGCCGAACAGTGACAAGCACATTGATCAGGAGGACGCAATTGAAGCCTACCAGGGGATGTGCGAGACGAACCGGTAAGCGTGGCTCAAATTTTTCCAGCAGCAGGAGGGCCTGACTAAAGTGCAAGAGATGAGATCCAGACCAAAATTAACAACATGTTTTAGAGAGTTAATGGATTCTGGATTGTGTTCTGCACCTTGGGTCAAGGATGGGCCATAAAGGTGGGACCAGAGATGCAGATCTTGTACTGGGTGAGGAGCCTCTTGTCTTTGCGGCAGTGTGTCCACAAGGAAGGGGAGATAGTGGGCAGGTAGAAAAGCCGACATGGAAGTGAGCAAAACTGGATTTTGACTTTGCTTGCAGTATGTAAATAGTAGCAAGACTAGGATTTGAGATATATTTTAAGAGTTATTTCAAGTCTGTCCTCACGCTATGCTGGGAAGACAGCACTGTTCCCCTCTCATTTTCCCAGAGGTAAAAGCCTGCGATGGTGAAGTGAGCTAATTAACACATGGTGTATTCTCTGGAAACACCCACATTATTGGTTTTCTTGCATCTAAACTGAGAGTTGAGAACATTTGTTTGATTACAAGTTTACCATAGTGAGGGTTAATATTGTCAACATGTGTCTGTCCTTATAGTAACAACGGGCTTATATTGCGAGGCATGAAATCAATCCTTGCAGCCATCCAGGAAAACATCAAGTAAAAGAGTAGTATCTCGCAAGAAGACAAAATTTCATGGATTAAACAACAAGATTGTATGTAAAGTAAATATTGTTTTACTACAAGGAAATCAAATGTTCATCTCCTTTTCTCTTGGCAAATACAGATGTTTGAGGCTTTTTTCCTAAATAATTTGCATTCAGCAAGGTAGTCAGAAAACCTAACCGATGTGGATTAATGGCTTTTAATAACACAGTATACTTTGGCACTTTGTAAACTGGTTGCAGAAGGTTGTTAGCGGTCCAGACTGGGAAAGGCCATGACTTAATTAGGATTTTATTCATACCTGTATGAATATGAGCAAAGGCACATCATCTTTGAATGCAATATGAAAAATTGTGAAGAGTTGCTTTATGCTTTCAGAACTGGTTGACCAAAAATCCAGTGTTGGGGTCCAGGAGTCTTGTGATACTCATTTCTCACCTGAGCATCATGCCTGGCTGGATCAGGACCAGTGTGTTGGGTTTTTTTTCCAATTTGATACCATTGAATATTTTCTTTCCTGAAGTGAACTTGCTGATGAAAATCCTGCCCCTCCTGCAGTGCAGAGGTGATGAGATTGATTTAAATGTCATCTTTTTGCCAATAAATCAGTGGGGTTCAGTGTGCTTCCTACTGCAAGGTGTGTTTATTGGTCATTTAATGAATTCTATGGATTTTCTCTTATTGCCTTCCAACTTTCTCCTGGAGCTGTGGGTACTAGTATGGGATGCAAAATCCCATTCTCAGGCACAGAGTTAATTGCTCCCTAAACTGCATTTTTCGGTGTGCACATGTAGGAGTGATTAGTTTGTACCCAGCTGTTGGTGAAGGAGTTGGAGTCAAAATAAGAGTTGCTGCTTCCACAGGGGATGTGTGCATCCTGTGTGTATGGGTTGTCCTTCTTCAGCCGTTCTGGTTTCCAGACTTAACAACTTCTGCAGGGAGGATGGAATCACACAGAGAAATCATCAAAAATGCCACAATAATCTAATTTTCCACAATGTAAAGATCTCTTTTCTTTGCAATTTGTGCAGGTGAGCTGCAATTTAAGAACTTCATGTGGTCAGGCCTTGGTGTTTTTTGGCCTTATGAGATTTGGGAGGGAAAATCTGCAGTCTCCGGGCTCAGTTACCTATTACCTCTCTTATCTACCTCTCATATGAAGCTTGGCTGGAGCTGGACTCTTGCAATACAGTAGCAGTAGCTCTAGGTACTATCACCCTGATGGTCTGCAGTGATTTATCCAATGACTTGTTAATCACCACCAGCTTCCCCGTTATATGGTTCCCTGTGCATTTGTATAATGGGTTGGTTTATAAACTGTAGGCTGGAGTTGATGGCAGTAAAACAGATGAAAACAAACGCTCGGGGAGCATGGATTATTGTATTTGTTGATATAAATTAACATTCCGTCCCCCCAGCACAAATTTGCATTTGTACTTACGTAGCTCTATACCCAAACATGTCAGCATGAGAAATAAAACTGCTTTCTCTTTTGAATCTTGATCAATAAATATTTTAATGGAAAGCTTTTCTGGTGGGATTGCAGTTCTGAAAGGGGATTAATAAGCAAGAGCCACTTTTTCTCCCACCCATGCTGCCAGGAGCACTCCTATTTCTCTTTATCCTGATACCTCTCATCTTGTTGACAGTTTCTAGCCGAGGTGGATGCTCTTCCACCGGTCCAGTCTGACCAACACGGTAAAGCCACAGTCCGCTCCTAGCTTAAAGTCATCGTGTCTTAGCTATTTAGGCTAGAGATGGAGCCTGGCTTTATTTTGGTAGGAGATAAACCTTTTATTCATTCTATGTCTATATAATCTGAGACTTTTAAATACAGCAGGAGGAAAACTGCTGCTAACCTTGCCCATGTAGCGATTCTCTTACTCCACGCTGCTCTCAGGGAAAAGCCCTTTGATGCCAGGTCAAGGGGAAGTTTGATTGAAAGCAGCCCCTTATAAATATAGTGAACTCAGCCTCTTTTTTTTTTTCCCTTTTTTTTTTTTTCTCATTGACTTTCAACTGCTAAAGGGAAAAGCATCGAGTTAGTTTCCAGCTAATTTTCTGCTTCAATAACTGAATGTAAAGCTAAGTAGGCTTTTTGTTCTCTGTTTCAGTTCTTGGGATATTTCTTTCAAGCCTGTTTGATCTTGGTGAAAATGTAGAGCCAACAAAAGACCAGGTGATGATGTTAGAGATAACAACCTGGCAGCTCGAAGCAGATCAGGTTTAGTCTTTGAAATTAACTTGGTTGATAACTTCCAAGTGATTTCTATAAAGTGTGTGGCTTTTTTTTTTTCCTTTTTTTCCTGCTCAGTACGTCCCACTGGCAGCCACAGTGCAAAGTGAAGGGCTGATCCTCACATGGAGGATGCCTTTGCAGCTGGAAGAGGCCATTGCGTGGGAAGGGTTCATATCTCTGCTCACCACTCTCCAATATGTCTCTTCTTATCACTGCTTCTCACTCTGTTTTATTTCTAATCTGTGATGTGCATTAGTTTTCCACTTAATTAAAAAAAAAAAAGCATATCTGTGTTTGAAAATGAAACGCCCCTTCTGCTTTATTAAGAGATGATAACTATCTGAAGATGCTAAAATTAACATCTCTGGGGTTTGGCGTACGTGCACCTCCTTTAAGCTACTTGGAGGAGAGGAGGGGGGCATTCGGGCAGGAATTTCTCTCCCTTTCATGAAGGCATTTTGCCAAGTGGAGGTTGCCAGCTGCTCCCCCAAACCTGTACCTCCAAGGTAAGGAGAAAGGAGAAATGAGGCTGTGAATCATGTCCTTTCAACTCCTTCCAGCTTTATTGGAGAGAAGGATTTACCCAGCATTTTAGGAAATTATTTTGTCGCATACTAATTAATCTAATTAGCTAGAAAGGACCCCTACTGACTTTTAATGCCTTGGTCAATATGAACTTCTGGGAGAAGGGGATCTCAATGATTTCTGGCTCGGTGCTGTGTTGATGGGCAAGGACTGAATGCTTATTTCCCAGGGCAGTTTTATCTCAGTATAATGGCACCCGCTTGAGCTGCTTTCCTCCTTTACCACAATGTATATGACTAAAAAAGGAAGGCAGGCTATTTTTCAAAGGTTATAAAGGAGAATGCATCTCTTAAAAATGCTTCTTGTCCTGTGAGATTTCTCAGGTTACTGATATGTAATAAATAGTGAGGATCCTTCCTATTTGTGGGTTTGTTTGGGGTTTTTTTCTTCTTTTTGGTTTTCAGTGCCTGAATACATGTTCTGTTAAGATTATCTGAACCAAAAAAATACCCTACTAACAAATCGACCCAAATCAGACCAAGCAATCTCCCTGTATCTGTCAGCCCATGGACCCTTTTGGAAGCCTGCTATGTATGGGTAAAAATAAGGTTTTAATCTAAATTCTACATATGGCTTTAACAGATTAATTTTCTGAATATTAATGGTTGAAATGGTTGCTACTTTTGAGAAATGCCATGCTCATACACCAAGATGTACAAGCTGTCTGCAGCGGTGAGACACCTCTTGAGTCCTTTCATGGTAGTGCTGCATCACCACAATTCTCACTGCTATCCTCATATGAAACTTTGCTATAAAAGGTTTGTGTTTTGTGCTTTTCCACTTAAATATGAAGAGCTTTCCTTGCCAGGGAATGGCATGTGCTACATTTCTTTTCACAATAGGAGACATATATTAGCTTGGTTCTTTTTTTTTGTCTGAAAGTTTAATGGTTCATTAAGTGATTTTTTTGTTTGTTTTGTTTATTTTTTATTATGATTTCCCAAAAGAAAAACTGTTTTAAAACTCACATTGAAGCCAGGTAAAATCTCCTTGTAGCAAATGTTTCTGGTCAGGTTGACCAGCTCCCATCATTCATTTGTAATGTGTTCAACACCTCATTAAAGAAGATAAATCAGTTTCCTGCCTTTTATAACTTAAAAAACCCCCCACCTGTTAAAAGGAGACTTTTAGTATTAAAGTGACATGAGACTTTTTTTGGCATTTTTCTGCCTGGATGGCTATGAAGGAGATTGGATCTTGTACCAATATGAGTAAACAAACACCCAAAGGGTGTTTGGACCGAAGGGTGCTCTGAGGAAAGGCTGTTGTGTTTGACTTGATGCTTGAGGAGACCCTCGACTGAAGTAGAAGAAAGAGAATTTATTTTAGACTAGTAGAAGTTGCTGCAGATGGAAGGAAATGGAGAAACTTGTCTTAAAAATGTCTTATTAGTGAGATGTGCCAGGAGGTCTGGAAGAAGAGTGAGCTGTTCAAGCTGTCAGTATGCAATGAACACTGGGGTCAGGTTAAGTTTGCACTGTGGGTGGGAGTGCGTGGGGGCTGTTCCAGCTGAAAAATATTTAATTTTTTTGGGGGGGGAGGAAGGAAGCCTCTTGGGAGCTGCTAAGGATCATTCTGCTTTTCATTTTACCGCATCTATGTTCGGACACCTCCTCCTTACCCCTTGTGCTGCCTTCTCTCTTTTATCCCTCTAGGTCCTTGTTTCTCTTCCCTGTTTTTTAAGCGTAAGATTTTAATGTGGACTTGAGCTAGCTGCTGGGCCTGCCAGCTTTTCTGTGCAAATGGGAAACAGTTTAGCCATACAGAAATGAAAACTCAGGCTCTGACCCTGAGGAGTTGGGCTTTTTTGTAAAAAAAGTAACGTCTCAGGAACGATGATAACCTGCCAGGAGGTTGGGCTGGGTGATCTCCGATGGTCCCTTCTGACCTGAATGATTTTTGGGTTCCTGGGTCGGCTGTGGTGGGTTGGGGAGGAAGGGGCTGCACGACGACATGGTTCACAGCTGGGGAGGGAGGAGAAGCTCCTCTAGCCAGGGGTGTCATATGGGGCACAACCAGGGAATGGTTCTCATTTACCATGGTGGAAAAGGAAATACAATGTAATGAAAGTGTGCTTTTTAAAAAAAAATTATTAAATTAATAAGCGTTCTTCACCTTTTCCCCTCCTATTGCAATTGACCTTTTGTCTTTCTCTGTCCTCTTGTTTCCTTTTTCTGTCCTTTATTTCTAGCAAGACTGAGGACTGGGGGTATCTCAATGAAGATGGAGAGCTCGGCTTGGCTTATCAAGGTTTAAAGCAAGTTGCCAGGTCAAACACTGTCTTTTTTTCCCCCACTGTTTCCTCTCCCCCTTTCACTTCTTTTTCTCCTCTCCTCTCCTCTCCTCTCCTCTCCTCTCCTCTCCTCCTTCCTCTCTCTTCCTCTCTCTTCCTCTGCTGTTGTTCTGTTGTTCTCTCTGGGAGCAGCTGGATCCCCGCTCCTCTCCTCTCCCCTCTCTCTTCCTCTCTCTTCCTCTCTCTTCCTCTGCTGTTGTTCTGTTGTTCTCTCTGGGAGCAGCTGGAGGAAGGATATCTGAACTCAAGGAATCAAAATCCTCCTCTAATTTTCAGAGGAGTTGTTTTGATGCTAATTGGGCAGTGCTGATTGTGGCTGTTGTCACTAATGCCTGAGCTGGGATTCAGTAAGAATGGTGTTACATTAATGAGAAATTGTGTGATAAAGGTGTTGGGAAACTGTAATCTCCAGGGAGTGCCAAGAAAACCCCATTTTAGATGTTTTTTCCCAAATTGCCCTAAGATATAGCACCTCCCTAAAGTGTTTACTTGACACGTCAGAAGAGGGGTCTCTGTCCTTGTGTTGCGATGCTGTCTGCTTTGCATTCTTCTGGGGATTGTGTGCTCCCATCCATGCATTGCCTATAGGTGTATAAGGAGGAAGGTGTGTGGTGGACAAATGGTGCCGTCCTTCCACAGCTCTCCCCATGTCCTGGTCTGGTGGGCAAATATCCCAGCAGGACATGCTGGGGCAATACCTGTGACCTCTGTATCTCCTGGGGATGCTGTTGATTCTGTATTGATCTCTCATCTCCAAGCTAATGAACATTAGGAAGACCAAAGGAGATTAAAGCAAGGTTGAAGGACTCCTGGATTCTTCTCCTGAATTCAGCTTGGTGCTTGGAAGAGCTGATTATTAAATTGGAGAGAGTCCAGAGGAGGCCACGAAGCTGATCAGAGGGCTGGAGCACCTCTCCTATGAGGACAGGCTGAGAGAGTTGGGGTTGTTCAGCCTGGAGAAGAGAAGGCTCTGGGGAGACCTTAGAGCCCCTTCCAGTCCCTGAAGGGCCTACAGAAAAGCTGGAGAGGGGCTGGTGACAAGGGCAGGGAGTGACAGGACAAGGGGGAATGGGTTCAAGCTGAAGGAGGGTCAATTTAGATCAAATGTTAGAAAGAAATTCTTTCCTGTGAGAGTGCTGAGGCCCTGGCACAGGTTGCCCAGAGAAGCTGTGGCTGCCCCTGGCTCCCTGGCAGTGGTCAAGGCCAGGTTGGATGGGGCTTTGGGCAACCTGGGCTAGTGGAGGGGGTCCCTGCCCATGGCAGGGAGTTGGAACTAGATGATCTTTAAGGTCCTTTTCAACCCAAACCATTCTATGATTCTATGAAATGTTAATCAGTCTGTGCTCTCCTGCAGGGTGGTTATGACACTCCAATATATATGATTTTTAGAAAAGACATGAAATGAGCTGATTAAGGACACTATAGAGAGGAAAAGTTAAAACAATCTTTTGTATGAAATAATCTACAGCAGTCACATCTAGAGGTATTGGAGTAAAATCAGACAATAACAGGAAAAATACCAGTGATGATTCATTTGTTTTTCAAAGCAATGTAGGAATCCAAGTTCATAAAGAAGTGTATTTTTCTGAGAGCGGCTCATGGTTAATCCAAACCCACATGAAGAAATAAAATGAAAATTCAGTACTTAATACTTATTTCATGGTGAGCCTGTATTTTCCAAGCCCATTAAGAATGTAACTCCTGACAGCGTGATTATGAGGCTGAGTGCATTATTGCCCATGTTTCTATAGTTGGCAAACATGCTTTTCTGGCTTTTGCTGGAAAATGGGAGTGGAGATTGGGTTGTTTAGGTCTTCTAAAAACAACAACAACAAAAAAACCAAACTGGAGAATAATTAATACTTTTCATCCAGAAATCTTCAATAGAAAGCATGCGTTCTTTTATACTATCCTTAAAAAAACCCCAAATAAACCAAAACAACAAAAAACCTCACCCCCATGCTTAACTGTTCCTGCAGAGAAACAGTCCACAGGCATGAATCTCCATGAATTTCCCAATGGACTCAAAAGACCTGTAGTTTTTTCCCCACTGGCACAGCTCCGTGTCCGTGCATGTGCTGGGTAAATGCTAAGCTATTGACACCAGAGTCTTCCTTGTCTTTGAGGATTGCCGTTTGCATCTGATGCCAGAGGAGACGAAGCTGTGTTGCTGTCCGTAGCTCTGCCCAGGAGACCACATCCATGAGCTACAGCAAGGACATGGGCTTGGTCATCCCCCTGGGTCATTCCTCCTCTTTGCCACCATCGCGCTGTGTAGTTTGGGATTAAAACTTTGCAGTTTCTGGCTTGATGCCACTTTCTCAGACTCCTTGTCCCTTCTGGAGTTGCTTATTTCGGTCTTCTTGAGAGAGCTGAGATTTCCGTTTAGCAGAGGGTACGGGATACCCTTAAAAAATCAATTATCATGTCACTTGCCAGGTTTTTCAGCACCCCCATTGGCACAGGTGTGTACAGGAGGGCAGGTAACATCTCAGTGATGAATCATTTTTCCACTAGATTAACGAAGGCATTCTGATTTAGCAAGTGGCTGGATAATGCACAGACTAAATGTTCTACTAACCCTTTAGCTCAGCTTTTCCCCCCCGCTGTAGTTGTCCTTGCGCACAGGCTCAGGGCTGGAAGGAGACCTGGTGCAGGGGAAAGGAGGTAGAAGAGGGTGGCAGGACAAACTATTAGAAAAAAAAGCAGGGTACCCCCTAAGGGCTGTTTTTGGTGACTTCTGTCAGCTGTGTATCATGGTGTCAGTATTTGCATCATGGAGTACAAGGGAACACGTCTTTCCCCGCCCCTGCTGAAGAGTCCTGGTGAAGTCAGCAGCAATGATGAAAGCAGAAACTGATCAAGATGACAGAAATTGCCCGTGCATAGTTTTCTGCAGGTAGTTTATGAATGAAAACTGAGATATAAATGAATATACTTCTTTTTAAGCAAAGATAAATAGCAGCTCTACAAACAACTGAAACGAATTAAGAGTTTCAGCTTCTGCCTTTTCTGAAACTCCCAGCAGCAGCAAACAAAGCCTGTGGCAGTCCAGCTGAACAGAGCCATTTGCAAGACATACAGTGTGGCTTTCAAAAGTAAGAACTGATGTTTGAAAGCGTGCAAGCGCAAGAACAAATGCCCTTCATGCTGAGCTTTTGGAAAAAACCCCGCAAGTGTTGATCTGCACTACTTTCTTGCCATGCATTTGATTTTTGCTAGTGGGAAGAGTAAAGGAACCCAGATTTGTGATACAGTTGCAGGAAAAAAGGGAGCTCTTGAATTTTTCCCCCCCTTCCCTTTTATTTAAAAAAAACCCCACAACCCAACCTTTTGATCTCATGTCTCTAATTTCAAAAGTATTTAATCTACAGCATAGCAAATGACAGACTAATGTGGCAGTAGTAGCTGTAGCACCCCTTTGTGTGTGTCAGTTTTGTAGGAAGGTTGACTTGGGAACATCTCCCAAATTGGCTGACTTTGAAGGATCTAAACTCAGTGGTTACTGCCACGATGCCGAAATCACAGGTTGATCGGTGTGGGCTTTTTTTCTCAGGCTACTGGAAGCACAGCTCCAGGATCAGAGAAGAGAGCACGAGGAGGAGGTAGAAGCTCTGAAAAACCAGGTGGATGCAATGAAAGAAGAGATGGAGAGACAGCAACAGGCTTTCCTGCAGACCTTGCAGCTATCTCCAGAGGTCCAGGTGGAGTTTGGACTTCAGCAAGAAATTACACGCCTCACCAATGAAAATCTGGTAAGAGGCTGTACTGAAAACACAGCCTAAGGAAAAGGAGAAAAACAACCAAGTTGAGAGAAAGGAGATAGGAAATATGAAGGGGACAGGAGGGTGCTGGGATCTCTTCCACCTCTTCTAAACTCTCTGCAGGATCCTTCAGCATCTCCCACTGGTGCATTTGGAAGTGTTGGTACTTGGCCATGAGCTGTTCTTCAGTGGCTACGATTCTTGTGATTCCTTAAGTACTTTCTTTTTCACTTTTAATCTTTTTTGAAGCTTGTCTACTTTGCGGCATTGCCTACCCAACGAGATCACTGGGGACCCCTATATTCTATAATTATGTGCAAAGATAACACAATCTTTTCTTTTTACCTGCATTTATTGGGAGTGGTGTGGGCAAGTTGCCACTCTGAAAAGCTGGTCTGGCTAATCGTAAATTTTCCCCTTCTTACCTCCTGTATCTGTGTTGCAAGGTCTGAAGTGAACACTGACCCCTCCTAAGTTCAGGTGAGGGGCTGGTTGCCTTTCTCAACATATCTAGTATATAAATAGTGTTGGAACTGTTTAAATATGATTAAAAGCCAGGATTAAGAATGCTGTGGGTGGGGTGGGGTGAGTATTGCCTGCTGTAGGCCACTTCTAGGGAAAGCAGGCACGGTCTTTGGGGTGTAAATAAGGGTCTCCCTGAGCAATCCAGAAATAACACGGCTCTTCAACCAAGATGCTCACACCATGCAGTAGTGGTGCATAGACCAGGCTGTGTGCTCCTGCAGTTTAACACAATGCATCTTGTTTTTCAGGATCTTAAAGAATTGCTGGAGAAGTTGGAAAAGAATGAAAAGAAGCTGAAGAAGCAGCTGAAGATTTACATGAAGAGGGTCCAAGATTTTGAAGGTGACTTGGCTGTTGGTAGACATTGGGGTGGGGGAACAGCACTCTTTTTCCTTCTTTGGCCAGCCTTGGAGAGCTGCAGGTTTTTCTCTTCTTCTTTCTGTTAAAGTAAGACTTTACTCATTCTGGCACACTGAACTGGCACTGAGCTCCTTGTTGGCACGACAGCAAGGAACCGAAAGTCCACATGAAGCTCCTGGGTCATGCTAAGGCTGCCTTGGAGCACTAACAGCTGCGCTGATGTAGCTTTAGCTTGTTAACATCATTGAATGTGGTAAACTTGGAAGAGGGTCCACGAGGTGAGGATGGAGGCTTGAGGGCTTGTTGGATCTGATGCTTGGTGTACCAGGGTTTGGAGGGTATTTAAGGAACCTTTTTGCTTTCCTTGCTGTCAGTGCTGTGACCCAAGCAGTGATATAGAGAGACCAGTCACCAGCAGGTGACTGCTCTGTTCTGGCAATTTTGCGGGGGGGGGGAGGGGGATTAAAACAATTTAGGATTAAAATATATATGTGTATTCTGCTTGATCAGAAAACACCTCAAATGTGAAATCTGTGTTGTATAGAAGAAGATTCCTGTTCACTGGAGATGTCGCAGTTAATCACATAACTTTGTTCTCATGAGCTAATTTCTGAAAACTAGGCGTTAAGTGAAATTAAGCTGAAAGACTGGAGGGTTTCCATGGCTAGCACAGGTGGTCTCTGTCAGTGTCACCTGCATGCTGCTGTTTACTGCAGTGCTTGCATGATGGTCTCTCCTGTTTTATTAAACTTTTATGGAAGCACAATGCTCAATGGTGTGCCACCGTGGTTCTTCAGCTTTACAGCCAGCCAAAAGACATGACGCTTACGTTTTCTTTTTGTTGTTTGTTTTTTCATTGCCTGGCTATTTTTTTCCCCCTCTGTGAAAATGCTACAAGAAAAAGCTTCCTGTAGGGTTACTACCTCCTAGCCTGTGGTTTCATGCTCTTTTCACAGCATCCCAAACTACAGTGCTGGCGGAGAGGACGTGGCAGAAGCGTACCATTCAAGTTGCTGTCCAGAGGAAGGAGAAAGATTTTCAGGGCATGTTGGAATATTATAAAGAAGATGAGCCACTCCTCATCCGAAACCTCATTACAGGTGAGGAACTTGCTCCGCTCCTGTGCCTGGCTCCTTCTTCTCTTGCCTGGGAGATCTCAAGATAGGCAAATAGATCTTCTCAAATTAATCCCTCCTGGGACTGTATGTTTATGGTGACAGCAGTTTTGGTAGGTAAAGCAGCACAGTGCTAAGCAGATGGACCATCATGGATATAATCCTTAGGGATAGTAAAGAATGGAAAATACAAAAAGGTGGCTGCAGTTTTTAGAGCAAGCTAGTAACTTTTAGTAACTTGCTGAGCTTGATATGATGTGGTAATAGATGGGGAAAGGATAGCAAGGGAGAGATCCCAGGGATTTTGCACAGCAATGGAACAAAGGTAGTTGATTTATGAGATAATAACAGGTAACAGATAATAAACTTATGAGCCCTTTTATGCTGGAAGATCTGATCAGAATTACTGCCAGCATCGCCTTATTCAATGCTGTTAGAGAAGTCACACTTCCCTGGCTAAGAGCTGGTATTTACCATCACTCTCTAACCCCAGCAGACTCTAGTGAGGATCTAAAAAGAGCAGTGCTAGCCCGTTGCTGCGGTCTTTGAAGTTCCCCTAATCAGGCAGGCTCGTCATTTAGAAGCTGCAAATTCCCGCAGCTGCCATTAGGATTCTGTATCTTGAGGGAAAGCGTGATTTACTAAGTCATGAATTCAGAGAGGGGGTTTATAGCCTGTGGGAGGTATTCCTGAAAGCTTCAGGGAGTTTTTCAAAGGTTGCGTGCTGCTTGGGTAGACTTTTACATAGTAAAGATCTAGTGCTACCTGTGCATCCGTAAGGTGTGATGGGATCACGTCGCAAACTTCAGTGCAGACTGTGCTACCCTCCTGAGCCCTGGTGCTGTGGCTCTTCTGCTTTGGTCCATCTGTCCTGCAGTCAGACCTCTGGCTCTGTGTCCACACTACAGGGATGGAAGTTGCTGAGCTGAAATCTCATCTTCCCCAGGGCTGGTGGGGAGAGGGGTTTGTCTGGGTACATCTCCAGCTCTGGTGTTTGCTGCTTCACCTGCCACTTGGTGAATTTTAAGAGGATTTTTTTTAAAAAACAAACCAACACTAAACCTTCTAGATCTCAAGCCTCAGGCAGTGTCTGCTACTGTACCCTGCCTGCCTGCCTACATCCTCTACATGTGCATCAGGCACGCGGATTACGTCAACGATGACCAGAAAGTGCACTCCTTGCTCACCTCCACCATCAATGGCATTAAGAAAGTGCTGAAGGTAGGTGTCAGTTTTCTCTTGTCTTGGGGTTGAGATGCTGTGAGATGATAATAACCATGTCAAAGTGGGTGATAATCAGCTCTTGTAGTGATTTTCAAACCCAATTGCTCTTATAGTTTCCCTTTTTAGAAGAACAAGGAGAATTATGATCTTAGCAATAAAATAGTTTGCATTTACAGATTAAAAATGTTTGCAGGGACCAAATGGCTAATACTGCCCATCTGCAGAGAGAGGGCATCCTGATTCTAGGTGGGGAAACTCAAAACCACTTTGTCTTGCTATGCCAGCATCCCCCACTGAAGGGGGAAGTCTCACATGTTTTAATTCTGCTCTTCCAGAAACACAATGATGATTTTCAGATGACGTCATTTTGGCTGGCAAACACGTGTCGTTTCCTGCACTGTTTAAAGCAGTACAGCGGAGATACGGTAAGAAACTCATTGCTGATCTTGAGTATTCTGGCATTCCTCCAGGAAAGGGTCTTCAGGTCTCCTAGGTCTGGTGGCTTCACTCTGGCTATGACGTGAGGTCATCTCTGACTTTCCTCCTTTGTTTATTTGGATACAACATGAGGCAGCTCCTAACAGAGGTTCACGGAGCATTGCAACAAGACATTTGAGACCTGAAACCAGGACCCTTTAAATATAACGTGCAACATTATGTGACTGATACCCAGAATATTTTGAATTTTATAGCCAACTGTGCACTTTGATTTGTCTGACCAGGGGATTTCCTTCTGGTAGGCTGTTTGGAAGGCTGTTCCCCTGGTTTTAATAGGTTCTGCAGCTTTTCATTAACCGACATTTTTAGACAAGGGAAAGCTACTCCAAATCTTGCCATTTTATTCTGAATGTTTCTACTGATTTGTTTTTTCCCTGTTCTGTTCAACTAGTTTAAAATAACCATGCTTTGAGAGACCAAAAATGCATAATCACAATGTAAGATTTCAGAAGGAAATCCTCTCATTTCTTGCCACCTCAGTAATATTTCATAAGTTGACATAAGTTTTATTATAGCTGATCCCTTCTGACAAAATCAGGTAGTCACAGTCCTCTTAGTGCATTACATGCTGCCATTCTTACAGCCATATGTTCTGGGTATTAAAATTTTCAGCAGAGCCAAATTATGTCGTTTCTCATTTAGTCTTGATTTGTGTAAGATATATTGAGCAATCAAGCTTTAAGAATAAATAAAACAGTTTTTGTGGATTCAAATTAACTGTTTGGATCATTCATGAGATGACCACTGGTGTCTAAAACTTCAGGGCTGGACTTCCAAGATTTAAATTAAAAAGAAAAATAATTTAGGTAATACTTACTAAATTTATGTTCCTGTTTGACCTCTTCTGCCTGGATAAGAGCATTACATTTTAAAGAAAATCCTCCCCAGAAAACCAGCAGGGTTAAAAAAAAACATCACAAACTTAAATTTCACATTCTTTGCCATGATTTACTGTGTTAAATGAACGAGCTATTTGCAAATTCAGTTGATAATTTGGTCCAAAAAACAGAGGGGAAGATAATTCTAGGCAGTTTCCAAAATACTGTTATCCTTAGTGAAATCCAACCTATTTTTAAGAAAACGTGTTTAAAAGAAAAACCCAAGCTAAATGCAATATTGCAGTGCAAAGAGCACAATGCTTTTTCATTAGTGAGGAAAAACAAGAAATTGTGAAGTCATCTCAAATTGCACATGTTGTATTTTTGCATTTTGCTAGTCAGCAAACAACAAAAAAAGTTGACAACAAATTGATAAGACCATATGAACAGGCAATTAAAGCATCTATGTTAATTACAAAATTAAGTTAGATCACATTTGCTTCTGCCAGCAAAACTGGCATTAATGTCTGAGCCCAGAACTCAGGGCTACAGCATCCATCTGCAGGATCAGAGACTTGCTTCTTCAGCAAAAAGCAGGGAACTGGAGAAATTTCTGAACTTCAGATCGGTTTAAAATGTTGTCAGAGCATATAGCATGTGGTTATCATATTTTTTCCCCCATTTTCTAATGTCTTAATCTCAAAATATTTGGTTTCCCATAAATAATTGCAACTCACAGGAATAAACAAATGGCTAAAAAATGTTTCTCAGGGACTGAAGTGTCATTTTCTAGTTCTTGTCTATTGCAGTGATACAAATGTTGCTCCTTGCTAGACCTAAAAGGAAAAACTTACCACTTAACGATGCTTTTCTTCAAAAAGCAGCCTTCTAGTAATAATTTGTGAACAAACAGCTGAGTAAATCAAAGGTGATTTATGAGTTTTGATCATTTCTATAATGGAGTAAAAATGCACTTTTGTAACACATCTGGATGTATTGTACTATAAAGGTGGTTTTTTTTAAAACAGTGATTTTACTAGACTATAAATAGGTGGAGTAATGAAACCAGGTGTTTTAATCTCCTCCTGTTCAGGGTTTCATGGTGCAAAACACGCCTAAGCAGAACGAGCACTGTCTGAAGAACTTTGACCTGACCGAGTACCGCCAAGTGCTGAGCCACCTCTCCATCCAGATCTACCAGCAGCTCATTAAGATAGCAGAAGGCATACTCCAACCCATGATCGGTAAGTTCATAGCACATTAGCTTTTAGGAGGGTATCTTTTTTTTTTTTTTTACTGTAATTATGTACTCTGAGGTTTTTTTCCAGACCTTTGTATGGTGCTAGCCTGACTTCTCCCCAAAGGAAAAGCCTGAAGTTGGTAGAGAGGCATATGTCACCAAAAAAAAAAAAAAGTTTTGGTTGGGAGCAGGTCCTTGTTTTAGTAGTGACCTGGAGTTAGGGAGGCTGACCTGGCCTGGGTGAGTTTTTGTTTCCCCCATGATAGAAACTAATAAGGATGAGGTGTTTTCCCTCCGTGATAGAAGATGCCTCCCTCCATTCTGCTAGGGAGGTGGTGCTCATGAGTCTGTAGGAACAGTGTTCCCCTCCAGACCAGGTTAAGATTTTATGGGTGAAAATGTGCGTTATGAGGGAGGAGAGTTGGGAAGGGAAAAAGAGACTAATAAAGACCTTATTTTGCAAGGGTGAGTCAGTATGAGAAGAGTTACCTCCTCAGCTAAATCTGTGGTGCTTGCTAACCTAATTGAGGGGCTGTTCTCAGTGCTTTATATTTTTTAGCTGCTGGTGTTTTCCTTGAGCTCCCAGCCTGGACTCCTCTATATCTAGGACTCTTTCC